ATATAGTAGCGATGCCCTTGTTCCTAGTAGCTTCTTGTTGCTAGTAGTAATGCCAGCAGCTACTAGTAGCTTCTTGCTCCTAGTAGCGATGCCTTTTGTTACGAGTTGGGTTCCGAGGTTTCCGAGGAATCCACCCACGAAGCCAAATAGTGGCGCAAGCCTTCTGGTGAGGCCCTCAAAAGGGGGCGAGAAGGTAGGCCAGCCACTGGCAACATGTGAAACACGACATGACATGAAACGCGAGATGTTCTCGATTTCAACATGGAGCTGGCTCAGACCAAATGATGGAATTTACTATAATATAACTGTTTTCGCTGTTTGTTTCCTTTCACCAGTCGGTGAACGGATCGTCTCTCTTGAGCCCCTATGGAACCCTGATGTTCATCAAAGTTCGCTGTCCTGGCTCTGGCTTGGACTGGGCCGTTGCATTGGTGGTGTCACTGCATGAGTGCCAGGAGTCGCCTGGAATCTGCTTCTTCTCGTCAGCACACTGCGCCGCTGTGCTGGTCAGGTGGAAAAGAAAACGCAGCCAGCCTGCACCGTTCTGCCCTTCAAGGGCGCTGACTGCCCGGCGATCATGGCCTCCACCTGTTCAAGTGAATCCACATGTTGAGAGCCCATGTACAAGTGGTTCCACCCTCTAAAACTCAGGCCTCTCCGCCAAGTGTGGCCGGCGACACTAATCTCTGTGGAAAACGGCTTGTTGCGGCAACCATGCGCTGCCCTGCAAAAGCCAAAGCTCTGGGCCCAAAAGAGACGGACAAGGTGTAGGTGTGGTCAGAGTGGACAAAACTCCAAACAATTCCAGATGTGGACAAATATGCTTAAGTAACACATGCACACATGTATGCAAGCCTCATGTCTGTGCAAAAGTCAATGCAACTTGTCAAAAAAATGAAGTGAAGCAAACACACTTTTCTCGAATGAACTGCTGGTTCTGTTGGGCTGACACATTGAATGCAGTGCAGCCAGTTGACAAGTGACTCAGCGCGTCGCGCACAGTGCACGCTATCCCCTCCGGAGCATGTCACCCAATGCCTCTTAGAGAGACGAACTCTTCGTTACAAAGTGGTGGTGCTGTGAAATCATCACCCCCGTTTTGGTCTTGTTTCAATGCTTTTCAATGGCTCTTTCTGATACAGTACCCACATGTACTCATTTCAAAGCCACAGCGAGATGTCAATCTCAAGCTGGTTTGAGAAATCAAAGGACCAAAGGACTCGACATTGGGCGACTCCACTCGAGCTACACTCGAGCTAGGCGTTCTCTCCGGAAGGAGTCGTTAGCAGTTGGAGCTCAGCAGGCTCAGCATGTCAAACTCATACCAAAACCCTTTGGAGCTCAGCTTTACGAAGCTTCCGTCTCTTCTTTTCCTCTGCAGAGCTCATCAACTTCTGCTGCAGGCTCGTTTTGGTCTACAGGTGCAACCACATTCCAACTTCTATCCAAAGTGATCACGTGGGTTCGAGTCTGCCGGTGGCACCGACACATGTGGGTCTGCCGCGTTCCCCCAAATCGTCCGACGAACTGCCATCCACACCCGTGAATGGCAGAAGAAGAGAGGCCCTCGAGCTGGGGCTGTCAAGCTTTAAAATCATGACATTTGTACAGTAGCAATGCTTGACACGAAGGAAGCAGATGTGTTTCTGCTTGTGCCCCTTCGTCGCCAAAAAGCAAAGCCTTGGGCCTTTCACCTCCAATAGAGCAAGTACCCAGCAACATGACCTCCCACAGTGAGCTGAATTTCGCAGAAACAACATGTCTCCCTGGCAAGCAGAGTCAAATAGGCAAATGTCTCCGTCACTGTGACTGCTGTTTCTCTTTTTCCGAAGGAATTGATGTCCTCAAAGAATTCAAAGAATGGAGCTCATGATGTAGCAAGCACTTGAGGAAAAAAAAAACACGTTAAAAAGGCTATCCCGGCGCCTGTTTTGGCCACAGCCTCGCAGCTCGCATCAGGTCCAGGTGATCAAATGACTGGGAAGTATTTGAAGAAAGTGTTTGACCACTTGGCCACATCTCTTTCAGAACCATTGATGAACTGATCCAAAAATCACTTCGATCTTGCGAATACCAACCTGACTCCTGTACAAATCGGTTGACTCCTGAAAAATCACCCTCCTCAGGTTGGCTGACTCCTGAGCTCTTCGGCCCCCGACAGCTTGAGACGCTGGTGTGTGCTCCAGCGAATTCCAGTAAGCCTCGGTCACTACGTCGGTCCACCGAGCCAGCGAGGCACCGAGGCACCGGTCACCGGATGGAAGGATCCACTGATCCACTTAATGGATGCGAGTGAAAGATCCAGGGACCGTGGGACCGTGGGACCGTGGCCCACGTACGCCATCGCTGTCCAATGGGTCATTGGCTGGAAATTATTTTTCCACCCCGAGCAGTGCTATCAGACGATCTGCAAACTTGCTTGGATACAGCGCTGGTTGATTTTACTGAGTATGTTTGTCCCTACAAATACGCCCAGGCTCTGACCACAAGGCACAGGGCAATTGCCAAAACGAGCAGTGAGTGGGCCATCCAAACAGCCTGAACACCGTTCGGCTCAGCTTGCACAGCTTTGGCGGCAAAAAAAACGGAACTTCGTTGCACCTCACCCGCCGTGAAAAGCCCCACAGGTTGCAAAGAACCTGTCGATGCTTCGAAGGAGTTTCTTCTGGAGCTTCATAGCCACCAGCCCAAACTCTTACACTCAAAGAAATGATGACAGTGGAAAACCACCTGTTGGTAGAGAGGATTTCATGGTCATCCGAAATCGGGGCCATCCACTTCCATGAGTGTTTTCTTCAACCTCATACCTTGCTGGCAAGATCCATCTTGGCTACTGAAGAGTGGATCACTTGGAAAGAGAATCTGTGAGCCCGCCTGAAGATGGGTTGCAAGGCTCGACCACCTTCCAACAAAATGCAAAACAGGCATATGGCAACCGATCGGTCACCATCGGTCGGGAGACCCGACGACCCAACGGGGATCTGCCCTAACGAATTCTCAACAAGAAGGTGATAGACTCGTAGACCTAATGCATCCACTGCACCTACTTCTATATGACCCTGCAGTCAGGGTCAAGCAAATCTGTTGCCTGCTCTTCCGCCGGATGTGTCGGCCTGCAAACAAAAGGGCAAAAAAACCTCGCAAAGCATCCAACAACATCACTCTCTCTCGCTCTCTCTCTCTCTCAAGGACTCTAAGGCCATGTATTCCTGTAGTGTTGATCTCTGCTACATCTACAACATCTCACCAATGCTGCGCACAAAAACAAAAAGGAAACGTACCCGGTCCGTTTGGGGCTCGGCCTTGCAGGTGATCGCCGCTTTTGGGATCGCCTCTTTCGCTCATCAGACCTGGTCACCGACGCGACCAGGTCACAACCGTCGCGACCGGCCACTCTGAGGCTGCTTCCACTCCGTCCGACGCTTGGTGAAGGCCTCCAGCGTGTCTTAAAGAAAAGCACGCATTCCAAGCAGTGAACCTCAACTTAGCCCCTTATCACTTATCTCATTCCCAATACTTTCCATCATATCCTATCTGATACCCGTTCGAAGATGAAAATGCATCAAGCTGCCTTCGACTGCCACATCAGCCAACTTTGCACGTCCTCGGCTGTTCGTTGATATTGGTTCCACCAAAACGGAAAGCCAAAGGATCAACCTCCATCCAGATTTCACCAACACGGGGTGTTGCCCCTTTCAGTCCATTATACACATCTCTTGTACCATGACACTGAACAAACATGACAGATATCACAAATATCCAAAGAGTGGTTGTTGCAAAAGGCTACTGCATACGACTTCAACTCAGCTACTTGCCTGTGCCATCGCCCGCAGCAAGATGCAGTGTTGGTCCCTCGAAACTGACCTCAAAAAGCAACTGAGTGGTAGCAAAATGCCAGGGCAGCCCTGTGGATGACAGCAAGGACCTATACCAAGGTCCGCTGTCTGACGGAC